ACCCTCATCAGTTTGAAGTATTATGCTGTTTTCCTTTAATTAATGTAGTCACCTTGCAACAGAGCTAACTATAAAGCTGGGTTAACCTTGTTTTCCCATAGCTTGCTAAAACTATATTACGTGACAATATAAGTCACATACCTAATTGGATTTTACTCATTCACCGCAAGATTAAGTGCATATTTTAACCCCATATCTCATTCCACAACTGTTCTGATTGGGCAACAAAGTAGATTCCCCAGTGGTTCATTCATGCGTCTTTCCTCCTCAAACACTTCACCATGTTTAGAAGATTGCTTAAACAAGAATCACTGTATAAGAAAATCCCAATTGCTACGGACAGTAGGCTCTATTTCAGAAGAAGGCATTTGCAAATCATCTCTGCATAAGAAAACCCTATGAAATGTATGGACCTGCTGTTAAGTCGATTGGTTACATGAAGGCACATATATATAGCTACAATATCCAAAATACTCACAATAAGAGATGAGAATTATGGTTTAAAATATCTGGAGAGCTGAACAGCATCCTTCCCTAGTTTACTGCTTAAGAAATGCAAATCTTTTGATTCTTTCTACACAATGCACTAGTTTCACGGATTTATAGGTTCAGCTCCACCTGTGTATTTGGAACTCCACTCTCCTGTCAGCATGCAGAATGACTTGCATTTGTAATCCATTTCCCTTTCAAAAGGCAGTGTGATAGGGAAGCATCTTTACAATGTACGTGGGGTACGTCTGTTCTCATAGAGAAGGAAATCTAGAAATCTGCGAGCATTCAAAACCACTCTGATATTTCAGAACTAGTTTACAATATCCACATCAGCTGCAGAAATATAAACATACAGTACATACATTTCTTAAATGCCAAAGCAATGACCAACAGCTAATAATTAAACTGAGGAACATTTTTATTACAGACCACAGCAAGCAAGCTGTGGAGGTGGAAATTAAAGCTAAACTCAAACCGGACAAAAGCAAGGACATTCCATTGCTTGTATTTTTCTTAACTGAAACTATGCAGGTCTTCACATGACATCATTATGAACTTGGGAACAGTGTAAGAATTCCTTGGCATATTTCTGTATCCCTGAAACTGACACCACATTATTCTCTCAGCACAAAAACAGTTCCCTGTCCACAGCGCAGTGCAGCCAAGGCTTTGGAGATGCAGCATAAAATGTCATGTCTGCATTGTCCCTGGAAACAAAAGTAAGATTCTGAAAAACTCTAAGAGACTTGCAGGGGAAATCTGTATTGATAAATATGTTTGATCCCGAGTTTAAGCCTTTTAAAACTGAAAGACTGGCTTATTAGATTTTTTTAAAAATCAGCTAGAAATTAACCTGAATGATAAAAAGAATAGTTTAAATTTAGTTGCTAGTCTGACCTAGATGGGAATTGAATCACTGAATGTTATGTCAATACTTATGTAAACAGCACTGCTTAAAATAGATGTGCTTTTGTTCAAACTAACAAATGTCTTCAGATCCTTAAATTAACAAGTTTTCCCCCTGTCCTATTCAGCACCATATCGAAATACCATGCAATTAAATGAATGGAACTCATTACATGAATCATTACAAAACCATCACAGTCTCCTTTCTTGTCTGCTTTCAATGGTGAGGCAAATCACTGAATCCATAAGCAACTGTTACTCTAAGTAACATGATTTTATTCCTGGGTTATAAATATCATTGTCTAATTGGTTCTATCATAAAAACAGGGAAAATTTATTAAACTGTAAAAACTTTGTTTTTGCAGGACATCTTGCAGCACATTTTTAGTTTTTCAGTACATATCTCATAGGTAAAGGTAAAAGATTTTCCCTGACATTAAGCCTTGTTGTGTCCAACTCTGGGGGGTGGTGCTCATTTCCATTTCTAAGCGGAAGAGCTGGCGTTGTCCATAGACACATCCAAGATCATGTGGCTGGCATGACTGCATGAGGTGTCTTCACCTTCCCGCTAGTGCGGTACCTAGTGATCTACTGAAATTTGTATGTTTTTGAACTGCTAGGTTGGCAGAAGCTGGGGCTAACAGTGGGAGCTGACCCCAATCCCCGGATTCGAACCGCCAACCTTTCGGTCACCAAGTTTAGCAGCTCAGCAGTTTAACCCACTGCGCCACTGGGAGCTCATAGTCTCTCAACCAATTCAAAATAGTCTGTGGCAGCCACAAAAACAAAGTTTTGGGAGTATAACAACGACTTTCAAAGTAAGTGCTGCACAATTAAACAGGAACAACACTTTCAAACCAGGAAGGGAACATTTCTCAAATTTTGCTAGTGTTATTTGATGGAACTATTTTAAGCAAGCTTTGTCCATCAAGGAAAGTAGGGCTAGTGAAAGTGTGTCCCTTCAGATGCCGTTGAATTGCAACTGTCATCTTCCTGCACCATTCACTATGCTGGTTAGAAGTTATGGAACTTCTAGTACATGGACATGTGGAGGGACACACGTTGATCAGCCATACTCCATGATGAACTAAAATCACAGTTCATCTTCAGGTTTGTGGAAAAGTCAACTGAACAAATGAATGCATTATTGTGGTAGAGACTTTTATTGGTAACATCAGATGCTCAGTGAGTATGGAGAAAGAAGCTTCACTAAACCTAGGAGAATTAGTCATATAATCAAGAGTATTGAATTTGTGTGATTTTATCTTTCTATCAGGGATGGATACTTTTTAATCCTAGCCAAAATACTTAGTGGTGAAAGCACTAGCACTCAGAATTACTACCGGATTTGAAGCATCTCTGAAAATTACTCCGGAGACACAAGGCCCAAGTCATTTGCTTATTATAACCCCCAATATGGAATTGTACAGAACATGTTGTGCCTGATTCAATGCTTTAATGTTCTCCTTATCTTTCACTTCTGGAATGTTACCAGACACCACAGGGTTTTAAGCAATGTTTCGGGAAGATTTCTTGAAACCATCATGGGATTGATTAAAGATGACAATTATTAGGTGGCCATCTGCAACATTCACACTTGCCTCAAGAAAATGAAGAGTTCTTTCTCCCACCTTGGACATTCCACAGATATATAAACCTCACTTGCTTAGTTTCCAACAGACCTGTCAACCTCTGAGGATGCCTGCCACAGATGTGAGTGAAATGTCAGGAGAGAATGCTTCCCGGAAAACTCACAGCAACTCAGTGATTCCAGCCATGAAAGCCTTCAACAACATAAATAAGGAATGTGGTTTGGGTCACTCTCAGCTCAAATAAGACAACAATAAGAGTCAACATCCTATGTGAAAAACCAAAACCCACTATTTTAAACATGTATACAAATTTAGAACAGTATCACATTTAATGAGATCCATTTAGACGTGTTTGTATTTTATGACTTTGGAAGAACTCCCAGAGATTCATTGTATAGCAAGGCCTACATGTAATGTGGTATTTGGTAAAAGTATTTCCATATTCATAAAGATGGTTAGAAAACATTTTATAGTACTAGAAGAGACCATTTCAGAACACATAATGCATATCAACATTACGAATCTTAAAGCCACTCCCTTCTGACATTAATCCTCAAGTTAAAGCAGTTAAGAAACCTTTCTCCAATGTAGATCTTCGCACTCTGCATTAAGCAATTTAGAGGATTGCACTCCAGCATAATTTTGTCTTTGATTCTGAATGAAAAGTTATCTGATACATTTCACTACCAGTGTAAACTAAAAAGTCCGGATCACTTTAAGAAAAAAAATACATTAACAGAACCATGTGTGTCTCATTAAGGTGTGTTTGCAACAGCAGTAATGCAAACATGCAGTACAGTAGTTAAAAAGTGGGGCAATCACATTTTAAACTTGCCACAACTAAAAATGATTGGCCTTCAAATAAAGAAGAGAGGAACATCAAAACACCCAGCAACATTTACTCAACCTTTTCCCCCTTGAGAACCAGCATGCAGCAATGCTTGAAAAATACAAATGTTTTGTTTCTTTAATAAGAAAGCAACATGTGTAATAAACTAAATTCCATAATTTAGAGTTGATCTGGAAAAAGTAAGGCAAACAAAATAGAAACCAAGCAAGTAGAGCTAGAAGACTGATGAGCCAGCAAGAAAAAATAACTTCTGCATAAAACAAGATAGGCAATGTTACACTGGGTGTTCCAGCCAGAGAAGAAGAGGTTTTAAAAAAATGTTGGTGGTTGGTCCATAAACAATTACAGGTATCTATCTTTAGCACAGAAAACCAAGATAGCACTATATTGAATGGCAATACTGCATGAAGGACAGAGTTCTCTTTTACCAGCTAGACTGATGAAAGGCATTTTTAATTCACTGTCTGAACAGTTGCAACTTTAAATAATGTTTTCTAAATCTAAAATTTCTGTCTTTGAGTTCTCTCCCATTTTGCAAAATTTCCTGTTCATCCCAAGGGACTAAAAGCATTTTTGAAATCAAGATTCTAAGTCAGTGTATTCGAAACAGAGCTTGAAGAAACATGGAAGCGAAAATGAGTCTAAGAGCAATCCTCACTTTACTGCTCCTCAAACTACTCTGCCTGGAAAAACCCTCAACTTTGCCACATGACAAATGCAAATCACTACACTTAATGTTGAGGCAGCTGGCTACCACACTTTCTTTAAAATACCACTGTAATTCTTTAATTTGTCTTTCAAGTATACAGCTAAAATTTTCTCCCTTTCTTTCTAGGTACTCAAGAATAGGTGAAACAGCGGCTTAACAGCTTGCTTGAAGCAAGTTTCCAAAGTCTTACAAAATCTACACTGCATACAAATGGCTATGCAAGTGAATAGGGAAGATCTGAAGAATTAAGACTTTAAAAAAAGGGAAGCTCTGAAGAAAAAAACCTAGAAATAATGTCAGATGGCATTGTATATATAGCAAGTTTTTTTTGCTAAGTATAAGGAATATTGCTTTTTTACAAAATGCCAATCTAAAGATTGCATAACAGCAGAATTGCTTTTGTTTAGGTCTACTGCATATTGGCAAAACATGCATATACACTAGAACCACATGTTTTTCAATCAGATAATCTTTATTTACACCGTTGTGGCTTACGTTCAAAGTTCTGAATCAGGAGGGCCCCATACTTCACAAATCTCTACCTTAAGAATTTGTTTGTTTTGGATTACTTGGCCAATTTCTTAAGACTTGCAAGAGCACAGCTGTTTTGATCTGTTATCAGTTTGATTGCACAGTACATCGCTCAATTGGTTACCACTCAAACATATTTATTTCAAATACAATTCTGCTCAAAGCTTTCATTCAGACCTTCTCATGGATCTGGTAACAATGTTCCCCTTAGCTCTTCCTGGAAAAGTCGTTTAGACGTCCTACTTTTCACTGGAGTTCCATAACAATGTCATTAGATGCTAAGAATCCTCTCAGTGTCCTAGTACAGGTGGTATTGTATGAATCTGGTTAGAAAGCCATCAGAAAAAAATGGAAGGGGGAAATATTTCTGTGTTGTGTTCATTCCAGAATCACAGAGAAACCAAGAACACTCGATTTACGAATTCTAGAGAAAACAGACGGAGCCAGTACTCAATTTGCCAAGTAGATTAAATTCACATTTGAACCTGTTTGTTCATTCCTCTAAATCAAGTGTGTTTAGTTCTTCCTCTAGTTCTTCTAAGTCCTCGCCAGTGAAAAGGTTTTCATCAACTGGCACTGCATCAAGCACTCCATTTTCCTGGGTGCCTTCTGTCTCGCTGTCAGCTTCAGAGTCACTCTGGTCTCCGTTCTCTAGTCTGCCACCTGAAGCTTCACTCAGCTTGTTATCTGAAAGTAAAAATAATAAAAATCCAAATTCACCATGCACTATTTAAATACATGCTCAGGAGGTTTTACTATGTTGATGAAGAACTAAGAATCCAGATCACCCAATTCAGAGAAGGCTGGTAAACTTAAAATATATATCATAACACTAACTTGGAAGTAAGCTTCATAGAAATCAGTCTTATATCTCAATGCTAAGGTATGTTAAACCACCCTGCATCCCTTTGTGGTCTACAAATAAAGTTGATTGTTGTTGTTTGCATAGATGTCCCATAATTTATCAGATTTGCTTCCTAACAGGCGTACTTGCTTAGAACTAGACTATTTTTCAAATTAAAAGTTCTGAGACCTCAGCTCAGTAATTTGTTGTGATTTTTTTCTGCACTGCTCGACATGTAGAAAAAAAATATTTTATGAGCATTTAAACATTTTTAGCCATTATTTTATTGCTTTGTTTAATTTTTGGCCTGTTTTTCTCCCAAAATTGGGATTTACACGTGTAAGCAAATAATGCTAGTGAGGCAAGCAGTCTTCTTTCTGACTACAGACAAAGAGAACAGCTGTGAACTTTTCATTGGCTTTTTCCCAAAACCAGGTATCCTCTGGCTGCTCTTTTCCCTGAACAGTTTCCATTTAAGATGGTTATTTTAAGAATTATGTGACCTAAGAAGCAGTCAAGTTTGCTCCTCTTTTCTGTCTTTCAGATTATAAACCCACAAGCAAGGACCAATTAATTATTTTACAATCTATACAGCATTTAGCAACATGTCTATATTATTTAGTAAATTTAAGAATGAGGAATAATACAGACATGTGAGCAAGATCTGGTGGTTTCACAAGCATATGAAAGAAGAGCTCAAGTAATGATGGTCAGGTTACTCTTGGCCTCCTATATTTCAGAAAGGATGTGAAATGACAGAGAGGGAAAAGGTTGTGAAAAATCCCAACTATTAAATTGGCTTTTTAGGCTGTGATAACATGGAATTTGTGGAATAAATAATTGATTGGTATCTAGGAACCCTTCCACACAGCTGAATACAATCCCACATTTTCGGTTTTGAACTGGAATACAGGGTAGTATGGACTCAGACAACTCAGTGCAAAGCAGATATTGTGGGATTTTCTGCCTTGATATTCTGGTTTAGATGGCTATGTGGAAGGGCCCTAGGTGGCTCAAATAGTAGTTAGCACTATGTCCAACTAAATTAAATCCTGTACTTTGGTCATAAAATGAGAAGACATGAAACACTAAAAAGACAATTATACTTGATAAAGTAGAAGACGGTAGGAAAAGAGAAAGACTGCATTCTAGATGGATAGCCTCATTCAATGAAGCCATGGCTGCACTGAGCCTGCAAGACCTGAGCAGCGCTGTTGAGGTCAGAGTGACTTGGAGGTCTCTTATATATGGAGGCACCATAAAGTCAACTTGATGCAGTTAGAAGCAACAACATATCTCTTGTCTTCTACTCTTTCTCTCTCACACACATAGGTCCCTTCCATGCAGCCATCTAACCAAAAATATCAAGGCAGAAAACCCCACAATATCTTCTTTGAATTGGGTTATCTGAGCCCACGCTGCCATATATCCCAGTCCAAAGAGGAAAATTTGGGATTTTATTCAGCTGTGTGAAAGGGGCCTAACTTACCTACCTACTTGCCAGGTAAAACTTTAAAAGGTACAGTGTACCCAACTTAGTGTTTGGCAAATCTGTTCTGTTTTAGAAGATATAAATTGCCAGAAAATGTGCAAAAATTAATTATTTTGACACTGGACCTTAAAAGAGAACATCCTAAATCTCCAGGAAATTACTTTATTTACCAGTTAGCAAGTCTTCAGCCACATAGGTCTTCAGCCACAAGATTTTTAGCTTCCCACAAAAGGAATATTCATTTAGAGCACTACCTAACTATTCCACTTCCACTACCCTTAAGAAGAATATATACTAGGGCTAGATTTGAACAACTTGGTACTATGGTGAAAACCAGGCACTACTGTAACATCCCAAGAAGTGAGAGATTCTGCGTCTGGGGAGAACAAACAGTGGAAGACATTGAACATTTCTTAACTGACTGTCCAGCATATACTGAACTGCGAGACAGATATTTACATCCAATATTATCCAACTGCAGGTCCCCCAACAGAAATGATATTCTGACATCCCTCTTGCAAGGGCAGGAAAGATCCAGCATAATCAGAGTAAGCCTTTTTATTCTGAAAGCTATTAAGAAAAGAGCAGATTTCCTGAAAGAAGAACCAGGAAAATAAGATTCTGACTATAAATAGAAGGTCAGCTGCTGTCCTCACCTTTTTGCCTTGTTTTTTACTCGTGTTCTATTTTGAAATGGTCATATGACCGATCAAATAAATAAATATTATTAATTTATGCAATGCTTTTGATATGAAATAAAATAAAATAAATAAAAATAAAATACCAGTTAGCAAGTATTTTTGTCAAGCCCCTTACCGTCCTTTTCAGCTGCAGCGTATGTGCTAAATCGTTCCAGACTAGCTACTGTAATGCCAGTTTCATCTACAGCTTTCGGAACATACAGGTTCAAATCCACATCGTTTACCCGTACAAGCTCATCGATCTGAAGCGGAACAGAGGAAAAACATTTTCCTGTATTCAGTATTCCTTCTGTTTACAATAAAATCCTTGCCTTCTTGCACAGCTATTTTGGCCCATCACAGTCAAAATAGTTTACCTTCAGATAGCACACTTAGGATCAGTCTTAGGACACGTAATTAGGAATCATTATCATCATCATCAACAACAACACATTTTACATGCTTCCCACATCTCCCCACCATTATGCACCAGGTACACAAGTTTCAAAACTTCAATTAATTATGAAGCATTTTTGATAGTATTATATGTGCACAACATTCTTGGAGCAGCTTTACCTCATCTTCGCCTATTCCTTGAATGTAACGGGTGTCATCAGCTTCTTCATCATCTGCATCAACCAACTCAGGCCGAAACTCAAACACTTCACGTCCACTGATCTAGTCACAGAGGAAAGAAATATAGTTTTGAATACAAACAGGAAGCTTAAAATAAGATGAACTACTGAATATGATTGCCCTTGTCTTGTTATGTTGCATCTATGAAACAGATCAGATGCTTCAGAAGAACAGAACTTACCACCAGTGCTTTCCCAGCCTTAAAATCGGCTTTCCTCCTTTCCATATCTTGCTCAGCTTTGATTATCTTTTCTTGCCTTTTCCTTTTCTTCCACGCAAGAAAAGACTCTAGGGTAATTTTAGTAACGTTTGCTCCTAAAGCAGCCCGCTGTAAGATAAGAACATCAATTGTGATAATGGTTTTAGAAGGCTACCATTGAATGCCAGTAACAAAGAGCTTTTTGTGTTGTTTCTGCTGCAAGAGACTCTTATTCTCCAGTGCATTCAGAAAAAGCCCTACAGGCTTTACATCTTGTCCTAATGGATGAAGATGCTTTCAAATTGTGCATGCTTCATCATAATGGGATATATACATTACACCTACATATACACAGGCCCCTTTGAATATCCTGTGGCTGACCTGAGTGTGAGACTCTAGCTTCTTTTCATTCCAGTTTTCACTAAGCAAAGAATCTGCTAGTAAACAGGAATTAAAGAATTAGGATATAGCAGATTTTTAACAAGGACTATCAGAAACTAAATCATTAATCATCCCCATCTGTTCAAAATACATGCAAACCAAGTGTTTTAGCATTAGTGATAGTCTGTTTCAACTAATATTTTAAATATTTTCCATTAAACCAGACTGCCCCCTGGAGGCAAGAATGAAAGACTTTCCTGTATTCTTGTTTGTTGCAGAAATCAAGGCAGCTTAGCTTTGTACATATTTCTTCTACAGTATTATCATTCAGTCTTTTGCAATCTGATGTACTCCTCCAGATTGCTAAGATATACGTTACTCAGACTTTCCTAACCCCAAAACGACTCTTGTTGCTTTCATACAGATTGCTCTAGAACAAGAATAATATGCGGGACTCAGGAGTCAGTTATCTCATGTATGCTCCAAGGAATACCCCTGATATGGGCAAAGTAATTCACAGCATTACCTCTTTTTCTATTAGATCTTCTAGAGATATTTCTTCTTCTTTTTCCTCCTTCTTTTTGTCCTTTTTGAGTATAAAACCAGGAGGGAGCGCATGACGGTACATACAGTTGTCTCCACCACCAGGACAGACCCAAAACCATCCATACTTATTGTTTTCAATAGCGTCAAGGAAGTACTTGCAGACCTGCGTAAAAATTAACATTAAAGTTATGTTATCCTAGCTTAAATTTTACACAGCATGACATATGCAATTAAACATATACCTATAAGGAGACAGTTGTATTTCTGAACTAGTTTGCATTCTATGTCATGGACTTGGCATAATTTACTGCATGTTAGTATTGTCACATGTTGTCAGTGAGTGATCTCTGAACTATTTTGTCAAATTATATAAGGAAAATCACATTGTAGAATCATGCAGGTCTTCAAAGAGACTCACTTGTAACCATGCCAACCTTTATGGGGATTTTGTGAGAACTACTTATTTCTAGGGCTAGGTAAATTGATTTGAAAACAAGAATCCTTAGAAACAAGAATCTACATGTAAAAAAAGAAAAGGGTATATACCTTATATAGTCTTTTAAAAAAGGTCATTGCAAAGGATGATTTATTTATTTGTTGCGGAAATATCCTAGCTTGAGTATCTGCTCATGGGTTTTGAGCCCTCTTGAGCAGCATTTAAGGCATAAGGGGCTTGCAGGTCATTGCCCCTTTTCAGCTTCCTGAAGCATGTCAAATTTTTAATTCGGTAATGCAAAAACAAATAAAGGAAAAACCTACTATTTGGGTTTTGGGTTTTTTCTTTTCAGCTTCACCATGTTTCTTGTTCACTACTTCTTCCAGCTTCTTTTCATCCCAGTTATCCATCGTGTCTAGATATAAAAACAAGACTTAACTAAGTAGACAGAAATAAACCTACAAAACCTTTCCTTCAACAGACCAGCAACCTCTTCAGAACACAGATATATAAAAAATGAACTGTACACCAAATCAAAAGTATGAAACAGGCTCATTCAGTAAGTCAGAGGTAAACTACAGTTTGTTTGATAGAATACAATACAATTTATTTAGCTTTATGCTTGATAACTCATGGTAATGGTAAAAGAAAAAAAATAAACCCGAAATGTTGCATTCTCATGGCTTTCTTGAGATGCATGTTTTAACTGAAACTATTTATCAATGTTTGTAATCTGTTCTAAAAGTTTCAAAAAAAATCTTAGGTCACAATAAATTAATGTGAAAAACTGTCACCTAATGAAACGTGCTTAAATTGCTTAGCAGAACAATGGATTCTACAGCCACTGTCAGGTGGGATCTACCTTTCTCAAGTTCTTCATCTCTTGCATCAATATAAACACTTCGCTTTTCGCACTTTCTCTCCAAAGTTAGATCATGAGAAAATTTGCATTTGTCTCCCTTTGTGCACTGCCCTTGCTTGTAGAAAGCACAGACAACGGATTTCGGATCAGCGCCTGTAATGAACAGAACTTATTTAATATTTTGCCACTGCAATGGAAATAATGATCTGAAATCTACAAGGTGGGGGAAATCCATGTCTGCCAAAGAAAGATTACCTTTACTAATTTTCTGTGCAGCGACCACAGGTTTAAAAAGCTCATTCAGCTCTTGTAATTCTTTCTTCTTGTCATCTTTCTTCAATTTTTTGTCTCCTTCTGCTAGAGCAGCCTGAAAGAACAATAAAGAACAGCTTTTTAAATTAGTAATAAAGAATTACAATACTACACGCACTAGAGAATCTACTTTGAAATCTGACTACCGTATTGCAAACTACTGACTTCACAATGACTTCCATTGCAAGGCAGAGCAGGTGGAGTGGTGCCTCCAGAGGTTGGTAGCCTGCAACTCCTATCAACATTTACTGTTGGTTGCAGTGGCTATGCCTGAGGGGAACAACATCTAGGGCCTACACTTTCCCAACTCCTGTTTCAAAAGATGGGCAATTTTGGGCAGCATAACAAAGCTGTTATAGGTTTTGGCATTCTTCTTATAATATTGCTACCGTTCACACTTCATGTCACTCTAGGAACAGGAAATGTAGCTGTTCAACAGCAGGATCCTAAAATAGAGGATGTTTTTGTATCTCCTGAAGATGGGACTTTATTCTCCAAAGACTTCAGCTCCTTTGGAGTGGAAGGTGCAACTTACACACCAACTTTCCTCAGGGGCAGCTGCACTTCATTGCCCTTCCCCATCCTCAGTCTACTGGCAAGTGATAGCTCACACCTAACTTATGGCACCACAACTGATAAAATCTATGTTCCTCTGGACTTTTACGAAACTGATCAGTAGCCTACTACCATCATCACATAAGACTCTCCCTCCACCTGCCCCAAGGACCTCATATCACATTTACCATCCCCCAAGAAGGCCCAGGACTTTTTTTTTTACCCTCCCCATTTTGTATTCAATATGTACCTAAATAACTTTGTGTCTGTTGGGATGTGGGGAAAGCAGGGAGGATATAAAAAGAAGGGCTGAAACGCTATGGAAAGAGAGTTGGAGGGGGGGGGGACGGGGTCTACATTGTAAATTGCAGCAATAATATGTTTCATGCTTATGTCTATGTTTGATGTTTTTATAGTTTTAACGTTATATGTTAATTTAAAGTTATATGTTATTGATTTAGATATGTGATATTTTATATATATGTGAGGCATTGAATTTGCCATTTATTATGTTGAGTCCCCCAAGGGGTGAGAAAAGTGGTATAGAAATGTAGTTAATAAATAAATAAATTTCAAACTTAAAAGTTGTGTGTTTCTATTTTACTGCTCTTTTCCATCAACCATAGAACAATTGCTTTAGCTCAAAAGGTCTGGATTACTCTCAAAATATGGTTAAATGAACTATTGTATGTTTCTTTATTTCAAATGTCTGTGAGCAAAATAAGTGCAATACAGCATAAATGGAATTTTCTCACAACCTGTTTTAAGAGTAAAGGCAACTGCTGCTTAGCTCCCCCCCCCCCCCCCCGCCTTTGGCCTCAGAACAAGAGTGGACAAAACACCTCCAGGGTGTTATATGTAGCTCTACAAGGCTGTTTCTGTGGCTCACAATCCTCTCGTTTTCTCTGGCTTACTCTTTTCCTGACCCCTTCTCAAAAATGAATGTGTGCACTTCTTGCACACTGGATAAGGGGGCAATTCCAGCAGTCCATGCACCTCTAGTATTCAAGTATCAGAAAACTGGCCCTCAAAATCCTGGAAAACCTTTTGGAAGGTCTGATAATAATGATATTGCAGCAACATGACTGGAAATTTCTCATGACTCTAAAAATCACTATATTACTATGATTTCAAACTGGCCTCTGTCCCAAAAACACGCTGACGTTGAACATCACAAATTTATAGCACACACTTCCCCCCTTCTCCAAATATTCCAAAATGTCACCTTATATATCTATCCCTCAACCCTTTCTTCTTTCCTTCTTGAAGTAGGATCCAATACTACAGTGCATGACCAGACCATTAAGCCTGCCAAGGCCCTCTATTCAATTATAACTGATTCAGTCAAGTAGAAAGTTCATCTTCTGACATTTTTATTATGCAATACGTGACAACATCTGATTACAACAAATCGAAGTAAAAATTGGCTTACCTGCTTTGGATTCTGCTGACCAAACTTAACTTGGTGGGTGACAGCCTTGATAAACTTTTGCTGTTTTGCTCCCTTCTTGTTCTTTAAGCCGAAGGTTTTGTCCTAGATCAGAAAGATTTTTAAAAGTGCAAATATTAAAATTCACAAATTATTATAACATAATTCAACGTGCACTACTTTTTATTAGGCATTTAAATCTAATGAAAAACTTACTGTGTAAATGAAAATGTAAACAGATTACTGGAATATATTTACATTTTTTGCAGTATGCATATAGACATGTATTTATGGAGTAAATTCCACTTGCAATGATTCACAGATTTTGTTTTGTTTGTTATTAACTAGGCTTAATCTTCTTGGGAAGTACCGTATATATTTTCTCTCAAGTGATAAGCTCTGATGATTCAATGCAGCCACACAAGTAAAGGTGGGTGTAGTCTACCTTTTTATTACTGAATGGAAATAATGGAAGAATAATTTATGAGACTTGAAGCTCTACTCTAAGGACTGATGACATCCCAATTCAACATACTAAATTTAAAGCACATTAAAAAGACAGTAAAAATAAGGACAAATATTTCAAAATACATAGAAGCCAGCCCTCAATTCTAAAGCAATAGTACTAAAGAACTAAAATATTATGACAGCAAAGAAGTATCAATGCACAATGTTAACTCTAAATGTTCTGCCGCTTTACTCTTGTATAGTATATCTATAAGACATCTGCTAATCTAAGAACCAAATGATCTAATATTGTCAATAGCACTTTAATAGTTGAATTAGGCTGCGGATGGAATGCTGTACTATTTGTTTTCATGGCAATTTGTACTGTGTTTTATTGATTTTTAAATTAGACTTTTTTGTAATGTGTTGTTTTTCTCTTAACTGATGTTGTCATTGTTTAATATGTGATGCAATTTTGTGTTTTATGGCACTTGTATGTGTTTCTGTAAGCCGCCCCGAGTCCTTCTGGGAGATGATGGCCGGGTATAAATAAAATAATAATAATAACATTTATAATCTAAAATACACCTTTCCCTACCTGGAACCTGTCAATTAACATTAACAAGATACAAAGAACTGTTAAACATGAAAAACCTTTTATTAAAAAGAACCGTATATGCATAATATAAACACATTTGAATATATCTCTCCCGCCAAATGATTTAGAAGACTAACTACTATTTAACCATAATCTGAAGTTCTGGTATTGTGATTATTAATAAAGACGTTTGTGAGAAACCATCACTACTTGATGTGCTATTTTCTTTTGAAAATGCATAATTTAATCCTTAAGGAGCAGCATTTAGTGCTCAGAAGAAGCCAATTTATTTCTAATTCCTATGTAACTCTCATTTCAATTCAGAAAGGAAATTATATTGGTCCAATCAGAGATTCATGGTATGTACCAACTTTTGTTTTCCACAGCATGCTTTTGCGATGACTGAATACTCTACTGAAGAGTCTTTGATGTGTGTACACAAATCTGAAATGTATATTATGTACCCAAAAGTCATTTCTGACGGCTAGCACCCCATTCCAATATGCTCACAGAGAAATATATATCTAGAGTGTTGACACAAACTTTCTCCTAAGCATACACCTTAATCTCTCAGCAAATATTCAAAGGTTTGTTACTGTGCATTGCTCTCCTAAATATTTTGATTCAGAAATAAGAGCGGATGAGTTCACATTAACCATGTTCGCAAGACTGTGGTCTTAACCATAATATTCAAATTCGGATTTTCAGCATGTTGAACGAAAGCAACACTGAGGCCATTATTTAGATCTGAAAACATAGTTTCCTGACCTAGAATCACCTTTTAATGTGTGTTTCATTAACATACACAAAAAGAAAGAGATTAAATTACTGGCACTGTCAAACTGAAAAAGAGAATGTTGCTGACAGCCAGTGAAGACTATGGGTGGACAACCTTTGGCCCTGCAGATGTTTTGGAGTACAAATCCCAGAAGCCTAAATGGTGAGGTGGCAGGATGGCTAGGGTCCAATTCAGAGAGCCAACGGCTCCCTGCCTCTGCCGTAGCTAGAAAGCTCAATGTCTGACAAGATACTGCCCTTTCTACTTTCCTCCCAAGGCACTGCCAGATGGAATGGAGGGTGAGTTTTTCCTCAGCTGC